AGGCTGGCTGCAGATCTGGTGCTGCAGCTGTGGACATGAAGCTCCAGATGAATTCCCACTGCCCATGTCACTTTACAGCTGAATCTATGCAAGCAGACATCAGTAAGCAAAGGGATTCCCACCTTTCTGCAGTTACCATCCTTTGTGCCACAGCTCTCAGTTCCTGACCGACTGGGCTTTGATGGGGCTCCCAGACAGAGCAGAAGAGCAATTTCCTCTGACAACCCAACCTACCAGTCAGGACTGCACCAGGCAGGAATGGAAGGAGAGAGTCTGAGCTCCACTTCCCTCACTATGAGAGCTGTGTACCAGCTGTTGTTTCAGAGAGGATAACCAGTCTCTAGCAGATGTCACAGAAGGAATGCAGGACCCAACAGATATCTGCCTTCAGTGGGCTCCACAGTGCGCACACACCTTCACAAAAGCCCGGAGCTGGATGGAGAGAATTTTCAGTCATGATGCAAGGCTATAAATCACTTCCTCAGAGGCATCCTGGGGGGCTTGTATGCATTTCTAAAGATTAGTCCACTCTAATAGGCAGAATTTCTTCTGGGCTCCCATATCTCTGCCAGGAGACTCTCAGTATGGTCACACTCACCTTTTCTTGTCAGCATCTAGCCCCCCTTCCACCAACAACCATTTCCTCTGCTTACCTACACGCTGTGCTTCAGATGCACGCAGCAAACCACGTCTCGGGAGCTAACAATAAACAGCACTGCAGGCAGTGCACAGACTGGAGCTGGGCCAGCAGTGACCGATGCAACCACACACCCTTTGAGTGCTGACATATCACCTACCATTACAGAACAGTGCAGAAAGCCTTGCACGGAAGGTTAGCTCCTCTCCCGTCTAGACGAAAACAGCTCTGATCCAGGCAGGAAGAGGATCTTGAGCATTTCCTATTTATTCTGCTGTTCCTGCCAAGAATATCACACTGTGCTCCCCATGGATCATCCGGAGGGGTTGCTGAGTACCAGTGCAGCTGGCAAATTGCTTAAAGGCTCCGTGGTGCTGGGGCAGGGCCAGGAGCATGCAAGGTGTGTGCAGCTCAGAGAGAGCTCACCTCTCTATACAAAGGCAAAATGGAAAACACAGGTGTGCAAAGCTACAGATGGGAGCAAGCTCCAGTCACAGGCTATATAACACTGCACATCAGTCACTTTTATGAGCCTATGGGAATGTGCAAATTCCACTTGCACAAATAAGATATCACAGACAGAAGGACATGGATTAGCATGTCTACAGCTGTGGGACAAAGCTATAGCAGTGCACAGCTGGGCTCTGCTGGCCAGCACAGGGAATTGTTTGCCTTCAGTTCTCCCATCTCTCAGCTCCCTGGAGGTGTGGAGTTCCCATTAGAAAAAAAATGTAGGAGGATATGTTCAGTAGTGAGTAATCGGCTGTGTTACTTAGAGTACTTGGGGGTGGTCCATGCATCTGATCAGGATATTAAGATTAATTATGAGCCACACCTTGTGATCTTCACTCAGCAAGGCCCTTATTAGCTTCAAGAAGGTGAATCCATCCCTGACATCAGCTTGCCAACCCAAACACAAGCAGCTGGGATTGGCAGGAGAAAGAGGAAGAATCCATCCTCATTCTTACAGCCTTGCAGCGGGCAAAGGCCACCTCTCTTGCCACAAATCCTGGAAACAGATCACTGGGAATATCCCAGTTCAGGACCTCCTCAAGTAGAACACAAAGGATGACAGAACAGAGAATAAGGACCTGCAGAGTGCCTTCCCTATGACATTGCTTCCAGAAGACACTTTGCAATAGAGTGGGTTGAAGCCACACCAAATGCTCCTCCAGCCATATGTCTGAACAACAAATACAGCAGAGGTCCACCCAATTTTCAAGACTGCTGCATGGCACTTGGCAATGGAGAATTGTAAAGAAGTGGCTTTCTCACCCCACACAAGGGGCAACAGCCCCAAGAAGGATGCTGACCCAACTCTGCTGCATCCCTGGAAGTTGGAGATATAAAGCAGATCTGGAATCCAGGCAGCCTCTTGTGCTGTGCATCTTTGCAAGATAAAATGCAGAGTGACGCAGAACAGCCTGGCACCGCATCCTTTCTTCCTGTGGATTCACATCTGTCCATTGGATTTTGTTTGAAGAAGAATGAACTGCTTTTGCACAACTTTCTTGAGCTGACAGCAGTGAAACAAGGGCGAGAGCAAAGGTACTGCAAAGGGCAAGTCTGCATGAAACACTAGAAAAAAAAATTGCAACATTTGCCCTAATGTCCCTTAAAAGACAGTTCTTTTCACTTCCCAAGACTTCTGCTGCTGCAGTGTGAGGGTTCTGGAAAAAAATTCAAAGGGCAAGTGCTGCTTTCCTTTCAGAAAGCATTATTGTGATGCTGAGCAGCCAGCGTTACACAAGTGGAATGTGTGCTCACACTTTGCAATTGGAAGGTTTCTTGGTCAGCTCAGGCCAGATCTCCCTGTTAGAGGAATGATTACCAGAAGTCAGCAGTGTTGGGGGGCATGCTGATCTGACACAGCCCTGCACATCAGAAAGACACAGAGCAACACTGCAGGTCAGGGGAGAAGAGAAAGTCCCTGCACCACTGGAGCTGTCTGGGGCTGAGACACTGCCTTGACGAGGGCACAGCCACAGGAGAACAGAATCACAGACCCCAGCAGTACCATGCCAGGCCTGTGACACATCCAAGGTGACAGTCCTGTCCCTGGCTCAGGGCACTGTTCCCCCTTAGAAGGGCAGCATTTACTCTCCACTTTGAGCCAATGGGTCAGGAAACATCAAGATGCCAATTAACACCCGTGGAAGTTTTTTTTTCCTGTGCCAACATATGCATGTAGAGGGAGAGCTTTCCTTTGGATGCCCTCTGACTTTGCCATCTTAGAGAACAGAAATGACACAAGGTTTGCATCCCATCTCTTGCACCTTCCTCAGGTCAGCCCAGCTCAGAAGCAGCAGAACTGCTCATTAGAGCAGTTACCACCTCACTATTGACCCCAGGTTCCCAGTGTTGTGCCAGAGACCCCATAAGCTTCACCTGGGGTGAAGCCTACAGGAAGGCAAGAGATATTCAGAACTCAGGTGCATGAGATGGGAAAGTCAGTGTCACTCATTACATTTCTTCCCTCTCTCATACGCCCCAATATATTCAACCAGGAAAACAGAGTGCTGCTCAGCTACCTTCCCCTTCTCGCATCCACTGCCCTGCCAGCTTTGCCCACTTCCACGTCTCTCAGCTCGCATCACAGGATTAGCCCTTCTGACACAATATTTTTCTTTTTCACAGCCTAATTACTCTATCCCTTCTTCAGAATATCTCCCATTTTACTCATTACTTTGAGGCTGACAGAGAAGAGTTGGGTGCTACATACAGAAAGTTATTTTACCTTCCCCCCTCCCCCCCTGCCTCCATTTTCTCCCACCTCTTTCACCCTGACCCTGTCAGGTTACCCAGCCATCTTCTCAAGCCAAATCCTGGTCAATTTGTTCCCATCAGATATTTATAGGGAAGCACTAACCACGCAAACAAGGCAGCAAGATGCACCTCAGTGGCTCAGGAGGATGTCCTCACATAAGCAAGAATTACTCACAAAACAAAAGGAGTCTGGAAGCTCCACTCCACATTTTCACAGCCCATCTTCTGTACTGATGTGCATGCATACATACAACCCTCTAGATGTCTTGTAGGTCCTTTCCAACCTTGTGTTTCTATGAGTCTATGATTGTGTTTTCACAAGTTGGCATCACCTCGCTGTAGATGTTCAGGCACACATCAGACAAGCACACAAGACCTACAAACAGACTGCACAGCCACTGAGTCCATAGCAAACATCAGGCTGTGAGCTTCTTACAGGTGTATACAAGCTCTTAAGTCAACTGACAGCTCATCGGGGCTCGTGACTTTCTGCACTGTGTGCACATGATCTGTGACATACCGCTAGCAAAGTAATCAAAGCTAATTCCTCCTAACCCCATGCCAAGCTGAAGACCCCTCAAGAAGCCCCCAAAGGTATGTGAGGGCTGAAATGAAGTGGGTATGGTATCCACAGCTGGAGACATCAGGACCTCCTCCGTGCTTTCCCAATAACATCTGGGCTGAGCCACCTCCCAGCACGGCTTGAAATTCTACTTTCTGGTCTGGCTGAGAGAAATGAGGACCTTTAGGGTCACAGATCCAGGAATTATGTCAGAGAGAAGCTCAGCAGGAAAAGAGAAAGCATCATTTATGGATTGCTTCATTGATTGCTATGGACTTTCTGCCTGTTAATCACTATTTTTCATTCCAGTCCACTCCCACAACATAACATGACACAGAGATCACTCCTCAGCTGGCAAAGCATTGCACAGCCATCTCCTCTTCCTCAAAAAAGAAAAAAAAAAAAGCACTTGGAAAGCTCTTCCCTTTAAGCAGCCTTAAAGTTGGCTCTCACCACTGCTGGCACGAATGAAAGGGATTTCAGTTCCCCCTCCTCCTAAATCCCTTCTCTTTCTGTTGCAAAGAAAAGGCAGAGAATGACCCAGGAAAGAGAAAAGCAACTCTCTCATCGCTTCTCACCTCCCTCCTGTCACTCTGCAGGGTACAAGGGGGGCTGTGGAGGGCACAGGGCCATTGAAGCCCCCAAGCAGATCCTGAAGAGCCACACGCAAGCCCACGAGGGGAGCCCCAGAGCAGGTGCAGGGCTTGGAGGGCAAGGCTGGGAGCACAGTGCTCCTGGAGGCGAGACAGAGGCATTTTTTCCCAGCCAGCCTTCCCCAGGCAAGGCAGCGTGACGTCCTAAGGCACCCAGCCTGAGAAAGGAAGGCAAAGTGATCTCCAGCACTGCAGCCCCCAAGACCCCTTCTGCATCCTTTAAATACACTGAAAGAGATAGAAAAATTGCTTGGAGTCTTTCTTGCGTCCTCCCACTATCTGCCCATTGCATGCACACATACACACACACCCAGCCCTGTGCATAAAGGATCTCTGTCCTGCTCAGCGCAGCCATGCAATGTCTGTGAGAGGCAAGAGTTACCTTATTCCCACAGCCTGAACCGCCTTCTCTCTCCATCGTGGCTGGGAGGCTGCTCCCATTCATGCTTTAATCCCTGGGAACAGAGGCACGATTCAAAGCAGCTGTTCACCCACTGGAGTGGGCTCCCTTCAGCAACCTCCTCCTCCTTTTCCCCTCCCTTTTTCCTTGTTTGTTGGGTCCGGATTTGTTTTTTGTTTTTTTATGTATTCTTTCTTAATCCAGGCAGCAACCAAAACGCTCCTTCATCATCTCTGCCTCTCCGTTTCACTCTCAAAGAAATGCAGGGGAGAGCTCCTTCCTCCTCCGTGGACCATCAGTTCCCCAGGTCTGCCTCTCTGCAGCGTGGCGGTAAGAGAAGGAAAGAATGAGAGAAGGGAGCGAACGTGGGAGGGAGGGAGCGTGCAAACAGGGAGGAGGAGGAGGAGGCCAACGGGATGCGGGAGGAAGGAGCCAGAGCGTGGCTGACTGCTTTGTATCCAGACCAGTGCCGACAGCTCGCTCCCTCCCTCCCCCCTGCCGGAGGAGGACTTGCGCTGCTAATGGTCTGTACCAATTTATTCCACTTAGGCAGGGGCACTTCTCCCTGCGACAGGAGGAAAAGCCAGGGAAGGCTCTGAGATGGCCCCTTAAGGAATTGGTTGTTGCTCTCCTCACTCCACGGCATCACCCAGTGAGTTTACTGCCATAGGATTGGGGAGATGCTCTCCCAGCTCAGCAGCAAGAGGGAAGCATGAGGCTGGAAGGGATGGGTGCGAGGGACGGGTCTTGCTGGTGAGGAGCTCAGCACCATCTGAGACAGAGTGGTGACATTATGCTAGATGGAAAGCAAGGCTGTCAGGAAGGCAGGCTGAGCTCTGCTTCATGCAGCACCCTTCGTGCCTTGTAGCACACAGGCTCAGACTGATGGCTCCGAGGCTGACTCCACCTGGGCTCTGAACCAGTAGGCCATGCTCCTTAGATGTCACACAACTCCTCTTATTTAGTATCACATCTTTCCACATGCCTTAATGCAAGGACAATTGCACCATGCCCAATGGGAGCTGGGAGTCACAGCCCACTTCTGTGAGCCATGACAGTGCAGTGGGACCTTAGGGACTCCCTTCCTCTACTGGGGCCACTTAGAGAAGAAAGGGCTTGGAGGGCTCAGAATAAGATCTTATCTCTTGATACTGCTCTTTAACAGTTAACCCGGGGAGGGCTGACTCATGCTCAGCAGCAGATTTCTGAGATGGCTGAACACCACAGTACATATGCCTCAGAATGCCACGCTCACAGCCAGGCAGCTTATCACGAGCCAACATCCAGCCCCGAGGTTGGGGGTGAATTACCTCTTGCTGCCCTGCCACTGCTGCCTGCCCATCTGCTTCCAGCTCCCACCACACTCCAGCATCACCTCCTGGCTACCAGTCGCACAGTGGATGTGCACAGACCTACGGCTACTGCCTTACTGTTCCCTCTTTCCCATCTGGCAAGGTAACAGTGCCATGGTAACACGTAGGTATAGAGAGATTTGTTTGCACTTTACCAAAAGGGAACGACAAAAAGAAAATGCCTTCAAGTTTCTGCAAAAAAGAATCAGTACTCAGAGGGAGGAGTTCTGTATCATGGAACAGCCTCAGATTCTCACCAGTTGTTTCTATCACTTCCACCAGGTGTTTCATTTTGAGGGTACCAAAAGGGCTGCCAGGGCACAGGGACGTCTGCTGGCCAGCTGTAGGCCAGTGCTGGAGATGGAGAGAGATGCCTTAAAGGAAGGTGCTGTGCAACAGCCTCTCCTCTCATGCTACACCTGCTCTGCAGGTGAATGAGAAACATCTCTGGGATGGCCAATCCGGAATCCTTTGCTGGGTAGAAACTGCACAGGAGACTACCATTGTGTGCCTTCTGCTCAGCCATATCCTCTACAAAATGAGCCAGCTCCTGAAATCAAAGAGAATGCGGCGTTTTTGTGTCCTTGGGCTCATTTTCTGCAAGGTACCTGGGGAGACATCAGCTCCAAAGACTATTTGCCTGGGAATTTTGTGCCAATTCAGCTAGTACTAAGGGTTTCACTGAGCTTTATGTCTATTAAAAATGCATAATGTCCGCTTATATCAAAGGGCAGGTTCAGACCCAGCACTTTTCCAGCATGTCCCCAGCTCAGTGCTGGTGTGGCACATAGGAGATGGATGGGCAGAAGCTGTCCCTGGAGGCCTATATCAAGAGACAGGAAAGGGCATCGCTGCTGACTGTTTCAGGGCTGGGAGAGACAGGGGAAAACAAGGGAGAAGTGACATAAAAGGGCTCCTGTCACAAAATCTAAACACATAAAAACTCAGGGACGAAAGAGGAGATGTGTTACATCTGAGATTTATAAAAAATTATGGATGAGCAGTAACATTTCAGGTTCAGCTCTGCATCAGTGTCTCTAAAGAGTCACAAAGGTGAAAGGAACCAGGAAAAGTGTCAAAGAAGATCAGGAGGGACACAGGCACGTACAGAGACACTGCTGCATCCCTCCCCTGCCCCTGGCCTGCAAATTACAGCACTCACAGCTCCTTTTTGTGATCAGAGCAGCAGAACAACGGTGCAGAGCGGCTGCTCTGACATTTTCCAAGGTTGTCCCTTTGAACTTTAGCATATCAACTTGTTTGCATGCTGGGTATGGAGCATGCCACGTTACCAGAGCCAGGTTCCAAGGGAGGGCTGGAGGAGAGGCTCAGCAACCCTCCTGCAGGGTCTCGTGGTGGGGGAAAGGCAGTTGTTTGCTGGAAATCAGAGTGCTTCAGAGGACGTGAATCTAAACCATACAGCTCCACCGCTGACAGCAGAGAATATAAACAGAGCAGTATTTTCCTGCTCCCTCCCCCTTCTTATTATAGCACAAATACCCTGAGTAAAATACATACACACAGCCATCCACTATAAAAGCAAAACAAAGCCTCAAGTGTGCACACGCGCACACACAGATATTCTTCTGGAGAACGCAGTGTATATTCAATACCTTAAATGTCATTTTTAAAATATTAATGCTATGCTTCTGGCTAGGTTTATGTAAGGTTTATTACCATAGGATTGGAGGCACAACAAAGCCCAGACTCGATGCTGCAGCCTGGCATGCTTTGCCTGCCTGGCAGTGCCTCATCTCCCCTGCAGACCCCAAAAGCTCGGTGCTGGGGAGGGCATGCTCCCACCAGGCTGTTTTCCTGGGAGGGGGCAGAGCTGCAGTCCGTTTCCCTGCTCACCATCTGGCACTGTCAGGAGCATCTCCGTTCGGAGCTGCAGCCAGGCACAAACGCGAGCGGATGCCTCTCTCCGGCTGCACAATAACCTCATTAGCCAAGGCAGCACGGGGCACAGGGAAAAAAGCACGAGGGCAAAACGCTGAGCAAATAGCAGGCTATGGCTCTGCACACGATCACACCAGACTGCTGGGACAGAGCATTTTAGTGGCCAGAGCAACCCCAGGATTGAGAAGTTGATGAAGAAAGAGATGGGCCAGCCCTGTCTAAAGACACTAGGAAGGGAGGACCTCATTTGAAAGTCCCACTTCAAAGCTGAGCAGAGGCTGCTCACACCCACAACTCTAATTTACCATTCACGTTAGCTCTCCATGTGATACATCCCTCAACCTATTAATGCTACTCCCTTCAGGAGCCTGTCTGTTCCATTCAGCTTCTGGAACAGATCTTTGTTCTTCCTTTGGTGCAAGCTGGGCACAAAGATCCACCAGCAAATGCCTGCTATTCCAGTTACTCCCCAAGGGCCAGGCAAAGGCCAGTGGGCTTTCAAGCGGAGGATAAGCTTCTTATGGAGTGAAGCCACACGTTCTGCTATTTGCACAGACCATTTCCAACACATGATGCAAATGCCCAAGTCTTAGCAGCTCTGCAAAGAGCTATTTCAGCCTTTTAGACTGTTGGACTTCAGCAGGGGGAAACCAGCAGATAATTCTGTGACAAATCTGCTCTGGAGCCAGCGTTTCTTTTTCTTCTAGTAAATGTACAGCAAGCAGCAATAAAAGCTGTCAGCCCATGCAAAGTCTCCTTACGTTTCATCCAAGAAGTCTATTTCACAACCTTCACCCACACAAGTTGGAGATGCTTCCTCATCATTGAGCATGACTTCTGCAGCACGGGGTGAGCAGCTAGGGGTGCAGACTGGGCACCAGCTCACAGCCCATAGACACACATAAGGGATCGGGCACCTGCAGAAGGCTTTGGACAACATATGAGTAAAAGGGCTGTTGGAGGAAAACCCCTCCGTGAGCATTAAACAGGCCACAGAACACCCTATGGCCCATCTTTGCCTTTATGCTAAGATGAGGAGATGCTTTCCTCCCTGGTAATATCAGGAGCTCTTTCACCCTATCAAGTTTCTGCACACACATGAAGGACATGTGCACATCCCAACCACTGAAGCAGAGTGCCCATGGGATGCTTTGCAGATACTCGAGGCCCACAGTTAGGAGGGGTTGGAGCCAGTGCTGGGGAGATGGATAGAAAAGCCGCAGTGACGTATCAGCAGGTGGTGCTCTCCCCTTCAAATCCTCAAACAAGTTCAGGCCAAGCATAGCACTTCCCCACTGGATTTCCTCCTGCAGAGAAACCTCAGCCTGAAGCACAATCCCAGATGAGAGCCAGGCATCGGCTCAGAGCCCAGGGAAGGAGAGGCACCGCTGCATGGAGCTCCCTGCTGGCAGTGCTGCTTCTTGACAGCTTGGAAGAAACTTCACAGCCTAAAGACCCATCATAGGTAAACCTGACTCAGGGGAGCCTCAAAGAGGAAATGGTTTAATGTGTTGCTGGGAGTTAGCAGGAGTGATTCAATAACCCCTGGGCTCCTTGTCCAGCTGCAGCCTTTCTCTGATCGTTGCTTTGGCCAGAATCCAAGGCAGAGATTGTTCAGAGACCAGTGCACCCCAGACAGCACTCAATCACATCCACCAAATTGTCCTCAGAGGGATTTTAATTCATTGGGAAGCACCCTCTTAGCAAACAAACAGAAGCAGCGATGCAGCTCTCTCTGTGCTTCTCAGTAATTAAGTTCTGCCTCCCAAACCTCCACCCAACATCCACATATGAATTGTACAGGTCAGAGACTTGGCTTTGCTCCGGGTACCACAGCTGAAGACCACAAGCAAGAGAAAAAGAAAACAAGCACAGGGCTGGGATTCCCATTGGTTGTCTTGATGTGGTTAGGGAGATAAGCCCAAGTAGAGACTTTCAGATGAAATGTCAAAAGCCCTTCATGTTTTTAGGGGTCAGGAGACTTAAAAGCAAGCCGAAGCAAACTGCCTACAAAATACTGGAGCTGTGCTGTTGAAACAGTCTCTGCCCCCTTTCCTGCTATGTTGTCCCCACATTTTCTACCACTGGTTTGCCAGGCAAGTTGGGAACTTATTGAGAAAGAACTTCCTTCGGGAGCAGCTTGTGACACTCTCGGATCACAACATATTGAACTGATAAAGTAAGACACTGAAATGCATACACAATCATACATCCCAAAATCACACATCTCAAAATCACACAAGCAATTGTAACTGTTTTTCTGTTTCCTGTTGTAATGCTATAAGAGTGGGGTGGCATAATTCCAGGCTACAACAAAATGAGAACAAGCCCCAACACAGCAGCCCTAGATACAGAAACAAAGGAAGAAAATATGCTTACATTTGGAAGGCCTGAGGTGGGCAGGGATCTCCAGCAAGATCCCATTGCCTCCACTGCCAGCCCTTAAATTAGGTCTGGGAAGGCATGGATCCTGGCTCCATCTCTTGCAGTCATTCAGGTGCATTGCATGCACCTGAGCTTCCCTGGGTTGGCCCTGCCTTCCCACCAGGTGCTCCATCACTGCTTCAAGCCCTGACTTAGCATTTCCACTACACCTGTTTATAAATATTCATTTCAGAGCTCTTTTAAACCAACAGAGCCTGTTAGAACGCTGCTCCAAAGGTGCAAGAACTCCATGGAGAGCCTACATCCATGTGCAGTCCATTATCAGCAGAACAGTCCTGCTGCTTCTTACCCCTAAATGCACAGCATGAGAGCACAGCACCAAAGCATGAGCAGCAAATATCTCCCACACACATCTCTGCCACATGCCCAGTCTCTGCTAGCCACCTCCATCTCCAGACAGTTACGTGACAACACTGAAATCACATCACTGGCTCTGGGTTCACTCAGTTGTCACGAAGTGCAATGGTTTGGTTCTATAAAAAAACAGTTGTGTTCATTTCTGGGGAAGAAAAATTAATATGCAAACACAGTGATAAATTCTCTGATGTGCACATTTATGTTTTTATCATGTAGTTAATCAGGAAACAGTAGGTTCAGTTTAGATACAGCTCCACGCTTTGCCTCTATAATCTGAATCCCAGAAGGGCCTTATAAAACCATAATCTGCAATGCAAAATTGCAAAGCATATGGGAGTGTCTATAGATTTTCCAAATCACCTGTGCCCTAATTTAATATGAATAACAATTAGTTTACTCTTATCAGTTAATTGTGCCCCTTGTGGATT